CCTTTTCTCCAACTTTTAATTGTCTCTGGGAATCCGTTCCCAAGGGATTGAGCGATGGTTTTTATATTATTTTTCTCACCTCTTCTTAAAGAAATAACATTCAAAGTTTCCCCCCCTCTTCCCTCAAGTTGAGGGGGGAAAGTCCTGGTTAGATGATTGGATTAAAGTCCCTTTATGCGTCTTTTTCTAAGCTTCCGCTTTCAAGTTCAATGCTTTGTTTTATCTACAGCAGAGAGAGGCAGACTTCCTTTTTATACCTCTCCGCTTTCGGCCGAATTCCCTTCCAATTTGTACAGTTCCAATTGCATAAAATCCTACTCACGGATCGTTGATTTTCAAAGCCAAATTTCCAAGAAAGAAAGGCAGCGCTCTCCGGTCACGGCTCGCGGCTTCACTCCACGGACGAAGCAAACGACCCACAGCACAGCGCTCCTTCCCCCGCTCCATTCCGGAACCCGTTGCCGGGCTCTTTCGCGGGTTGGGGGGGCGCCGAACGTGCCCACTGGGTCCCAAGTTCACAGGCTTCCCCCGCCTGTGATTTCAAGGGTCCCCCGCTACGCCGAAGCGGGATCCGACCCTGTTTTCCGTAGAGCGATTCCCTCCGATCCGAGGGAATCCGCCATTAACCGATGGCGCCACCTCCGGAAGTCTGGCACAAGACACATCATATGGGGACTTCCAGCAAGGCAAAATGGCGGGTGCCACGGCAATGAGCAGCTCCTGAAGCCAGCCAGATCCATGTGCACTACCAGGCTGGCTCCAGGCTGCTGAGACTGCTGCCTGCGCTGCCACTGCCGAGGGGGAACCAGGGATGCCCGGCGCGTCAACTGGGGGAACCGCTGACACCCCCCCCAGGACCCAAATCGGGCGGGAGCGGGCGCCCGGCCACGTGGCCGACTGCCCCGCGGCGCTCCAGGGCCAGTAAAACCCCGGAGCCAACCCAGGGAGAAGGAGGAAAGGAGAAGGAGAAGGAAGAGAGAGAAAGAGGAAGGAGAAAAAAGAGGGGAGCCCTGACCTTGCCGCGCTGCTGCCGCTGAGGAAGAGAGGTAGGAGAGCACCAGGAGGGCAAGGACACGGGGCCGAGCCCAGGCCCGACCTGACCCAAGCCTACTCCACGGCAGATAGCACTCCAAGGGATCAGGCTGGTGTCCAGAGGAAGGCCACGCGACAGAGGAGACCCAGAAGAGAAGGTATTACTTCTTTTAAAAAAAAAAAAAAAAAAAAGATTTTTAAAAAATAACATTTTTTTATCTTTTGAGAAAAAAAAGTGTCCCCGGATTCTTTGAAAAAAATCTGGTAACCTTACCTTAAATCCTAACCTTCTAATTGAGCCTCCGGAGAAAGACTGGGGCAGGCGGGAAGTGGGAAGGGGAAGTCATCAGGGGAATCATCAGAACCACCTGTGCTGCAGAGCTTCTGGCTGAAAGGCGACTCATGGAGATTTGCAATGACTGCTGCAATGCACCCCTCATGATTCAGATTGTATCATTATAGCGTCATTGTGTTTATTTGTGGTTGATATATTAAATTTGTATAATCTTAGAAGCAGTGTGGCTGTGAGTACCATGAAGGGAGCCTGCTCTTTGTGATTTGCCAGGGCACTACTGCAGGTTAGGAAGGAGGAAGGCAAAGATCCTTTCCCCAGTAAAACATGTTTGCACCCAGGGTGTTTCCAGACTGTCAGTATTTTGTGGGAGGGATTCAGGTCCAGCCCAGAACTTCAGCTTTTCCAATGAGAATGGATTAAAGCACTCTGACCATTCCCTTAGTAGAGTCTAACCACTGTTGTAAGTTTTGGGTAAGCAAGACATGAACGCAAAACAAACAAGTGGTCGTCTCCTCCGGAGGGACCCCTGCACTGTAAATATATTGACTTTTTTTTTTTAAAAAAAAATGATATTTATTGAGAATTTTAAAGTTACAAAGAAAAAAAGAGGGAAAAAACAAGAAAAAGAGAAAAAGAAAGAAAAAAGTAGATAGAAGTAACAATTAAACAATACAAATCAATAAAAACCAAAATCAAAAAAAAGAGCAAAACACACAATGCACCACAATCAAAAAGCAAAAATAAACAAAAAAATTAAAAACAAATCCAATATTCCCAAATCCTTAACTTTCATTCATGTGGGGATACAACAGATGGTTCCCCGACACATTCACTTATTTCATCGACCTCCTCACACCTCCCTTTTTTGTATTCTAGTTGTTAATTATCTCAGCAAATCCTTTCCATCTTTCACAATATTCTGTCATTAAATTACCTTAATCTATTTTAACCTTATCTTACCATAAAAAACCTTAAAACTTAAATCTTATTTATACCAAATTCTTTTAACCATAACATATTCTTACATAATTCTTTTTAACATTTCTGCTAAAGCCAAATACTTTCATTCCAACATTTTTCTAATACTCATTAATTTTACAATAATTTTCTAAATAAATTTTTAAAACTTTCTTCCAATCTTCATCCATCGTCTCTTCTTCCTGGTCTCAGGTTTTGTCAGTCCTTTCTATCCCATCCATCTAGTCCATCAACCTGGTGACCTTATATCCGAGGCTCTTAAGTCTTTTCCATGTCCCTTCCGCAGGTCTTCTTCATGTTTATACCTGTACTTTACTTTGTCTTCTGCTCCTTTCACTCGGGGAGACTCAGCTTGACAATATTTTTGTCCCTTCTCGACAAGTCAGCCCCTTTCCATAGTCAACACTGAAATCCATGTGGTATTTAAAGGCATGTTTCAAGGTCCCTCCAAAGTTAGGGGCCCCCACAACTCCGAGCTCCCCCCGGCCTAAAGCCAGACTTGAAAGGTCAAAACATCCCTTCACAGGGGGGTCCATCCAGCCCCTCATCTCCAAGCCAAACAGAACTCCATCTCTCCAAATCTGACTTTTTCCAGGTTCATTCGTCAAGTCCAACAACTCATGTTCCTGCTGGGCCACAGCTCCCTCCATCTCTGCCACCCGAGGTCCAGCAACAACCTCCTCCCTTATCTCATCTGTCAAAGCACAGTCGTGGATTAATTCCTGAGTGGGTTCTATAGTGGTACGCACTGCCGGTCCGAAATTTCCGATCGCAACAGTCATCAAATCCATCTTCTCAAGTAACTGTTCCAATAAAGCACTTGTCTTGCAAAAGGCAAGCACCAAAGCCTCTGAGCACATTCTTGTTCAAGGTCGAAGTCTGGTCCCACGATCTTTAATCTTTACAGCTGCAAAGCTCCCCAGTTCGACTTTAATAACAATTTCACAAGCTTCCTCTAGGGGAAACAATTTCTATTTGTGTCCACCTTTTTTTTTTAAAAAAAAAAAAAAGCAGATCTAGCAACAAAGTTTTCCTTTTTCGGATATTTTGTCGATACTTTGTTCCTTTTAAATGCGAAAGGGAACAATGGAATCAATATGTTTCTCTTCTTTTAACTATCTGTCAAAAACGTTTGTCCATAGTCAATGAACTTCTCCAAAACGTCTGTCTTGACACCCCGCTCCCAGGTTCAAGACGGTGAAAAATTACCTTTCTTTACTCTCTCTTCTGCAGGTTTAAACAGTCTAAAAAAGGTTCCCCCCTCTTCTTCTGCTTCCAAGGGGGGTTCAGTAATTTTAAATGATGAAAATTTAGTCCTTTACAGACGGCTTTCTAAACTCTAGCTTGCCGTGTCTTTGCTTCAATCTATCTACAAAAGCGGAAGGCGGACTTCCTGTTTAGACCTTCCCGCTTTCGGTGCCTAATTAAGAAATTTCATTGTCCAATTTTCCGTTCTACTCACGGGCAGTTGTTTAAAATCCAATTGTCCACAGGAAAAAGTCAGCACTCTCCGGCAACAGCAGTCCGTGAAAGAAGCAGTCGATTCAAAGCACCGCGCCACTCACCCCACGTCGCTCCGGATCCCCAAAACAGGGTTTCCCCGCGTGTAGGGGGGGCGCAAGGGTGCCAGCCGAATCCCACGTCCACAGGCTTCTCCCGCCTGTGGTTTTTGATGGGTCTCCGCCTCGCCGTGGCGGATCAGACCCTGTTTTCCACGGAGCGGATTCCTCCCGATCGGAGGAAATCCGCCATTGCCAGAGGCGCCAACCCGGAAGTCCACTGTAAATATATTGACAGCACACTTCCAGGTCGTTGGCATCGGCATCCCAGAACTGTGAAGGTTGCCTCAACTGTTGAGCAGCACAGCTAAGGAAGAAGGAGTGGAGTGTCTCCGGGGGGAGCATAGCTCCCATTCCCTTCCAAACACACAGACAGGACAGTGTGGTGGCACCCAGGGAATAGTTGCAGCAGCCGGATGGCTGGCTGAAACACACACCATTGCACTATATAAGGTGACGCAACTCCTGCATCTCTGACGTGGGAAGGTTTGGAGGTATTTCAAATTCCACCCTTCTTCCTTGGCTCCCTGGAAAGAAGGCTTCTTTAAATTTTGAGCGCATTTCACAGGCCAGGAGCCAAGCACCTCTTCCTGAGGGGGAGAAGAGGCCCAGAAAAGATGAGCCCTTCCCAGCCCAAAGGCGTTCCCCTGAGATTCAGCTTCCAGGCTATGGCTAACCAGGTTAGGAGAAGGAATATTGGGAGCGGGAAGGAACTGATGTCATCTGTTGGAGCAGCTGGGTAATTGAAGGGAATGAGGTGATAACAAGGCTTTCAAATCTGAACTCTTGTTTGTGGCTGATTAGGATAGAGGGAGGTGGAGAACAAGGGCAATCGGAAGCAGACTCTGGGTAGTTTGTTCCTTTTCTTTGTTCGGGTTCCTACGTCACACCAGCAGTTTAAATGGCAACACTCCTTTGCAGGATTGTCCGCCTTTTTAATTCTTTGTTATGGAAAATCAATAAAATGATAAGTTGCCCCTGCCAAAGGGTTGCATGACATCTGGCTGAAGACTTTTTGTGCTAAAAGATGAAGCTATGCTGGTGTGTGTGTGTGTGTGTGTGTGTGTGTGTGTGTGTGAAGGGAAGTTCTCTTTCTGCAGTTCTCTAAGTTTTCTTTCTGCAGTTCTCTTACTGCACATAACTGTGGCATTGTGGGAAAGTCTTGCTTTTAGAACTATTGCTTCTTTTCTCTCTTACATTCTGGGAAGTTTTTGCCTCTGCACAAGAGTCTGAGAATGTTCTGAACAGTTCCCATTGAGTTCATGAAACAGTGTATCCTGACCTGTTCTTAATGCATTGCTGACCACATCTACAGAACGTGATTGTTGTATTCCTTCATGTTATGTTCTCTCAATATCAATCTTTAGTTATAATTTAATTAGGAGGTTTCATGCCTGTCTAGTTCCAGCTCCGTTTCCCAGTCTTTGAACTATCAGTGATTAATGTAATATGTAATGCCCGCCTTGTACCTATGTTAACCAATCAGCAACAGTTTGCTTTGTGTTTGTATCAGCCACAAGCACACCTGTGGCAATGTTTGTAATATTCAATAAAAGAGAGTTCCCGGGGCTTGCCCCGGCAGACGCCTCTCCTTTGACACCCACCACTCGTCTGTCGTGATTTCAACCCAACATCTGGTGACCCCTGACGTGCCAGATCCCTTACGCAGCCAAACCTCATACTTCACCCGACTGGAAAAGTCTCAGCGCGCTACTTCGTGAGTATGGGAGTGGACTTGACTAAATTCCAGAAAGAGCATGCTAAAGAATTGCTTTATTTAGTTAGACAGCGGGAGGTGGGTGTTAATATTTCCTTAAAAGAAATTGAACAATTGCTATGTGAGATTTCTTGCCAATTTCCCTCCTATCCAGAGAAAGGATCTTTGGAAGTAGAGACTTGGCAAAAGATCGGAAAGACCCTTTTTACAGAACCAAGGGCTCCGATTCATTGTCTGCTCACTTGGCAGAAATGTGCAGACGCCGTTGCTAAATTAGGGCCCCAAGTGGGACCCCAGGCGTCTCCTCTTCTGGCCATTGCAGACAATCCCCCACCCTACCCGAAACTTTTGCCTTCTTCTCCTTTGCAGCCCAGCCAATCCCTCCCTGCGTCTCTCCCTCCTCAGCCTGCATCCTCCCCCCCCATCCCTTCTCCGTCTGCCACAGCCCCTGTTTGCTCTATAGGAGCTGTGCGCGCTGCGCTCTCTTTGGCAAGGCAGAAAGGGCTCCTGTCCTTAGAGGAGGAGTCTGAGTGGCCAGGTGAAATGCCGTCTGCTTTCCCTATCTCTTATTCACACCCTGGAACTGCTCAACAGCAGATTTATTATGAATCGCTTCCTTATTCTGTAATGAGGGAATTAAGGAAAGCCATTGCTGATTCTGGTCTGAAATCCTCTTATGTGACGGGAATGCTAGAAGGCATAGCAACTGGTTACATTATGCTACCTCAGGACTGGAAAGACCTGATGCGCATGCTTTTGTCCCCTGCTCAGTATGTGGTGTTTGAGAGTGAATTTCAACCCAACAGTGTGTCCGTCCGTCCATGTGGCCACTGTGTATTCAACATTCCACCCCTCCAAAGAATCCTAAGAACCTTAGTTTTCTTTTCACAGTGCTACGATTCCCAGCACCCTTAACAAACCATTGTTCCCAGGACTTTTTGGGTGTGGGTGGGAGGAGATGTGCTTTACACGTGCGGTGTGCAGGCATCTCCCAGCACATGTGGGGGGGGATTCAAGACTAACTCTTATGCTTTTCTTCCTTAGACCAGCTTGATGTTGAAAAAGAGGTTCTCTGGGTTGAGGAACACATGCCATTTCACAGCGAAGCAGAACACGGGCCAAATGGACACTCTGCCATTGCATTTGGTGAAGTCAGACTGGCTTTGCAAAGGAGCTTGCCCCTGAAGCCAGTTGGTTGCCTGCCTCTGGCTGGCTGGCGGCTTGGCATCACCAAAACACAAAGAGACAGCCCCATGCAACCTCACACCCAAAGATTTCTGCCCATGCTTCAGACATGCAGCCCTAAGAGCAGCTCTGACTCCCACTCTAGGCCCCTCTGCCCCAGTCTTCCTCCTGATGTAGGCTACAGGATCTGGGAAGTCTGATCCAGCTTTGAGGTGTGGTTCCATATGGCCGTTAGTACTGTTGTGTTTTTGCCAGAGAGCCACGTGGTAAGGAAGATCTCCAAGTATGCTTCCTAGGGACTCCACTTTAATCCTCAGATGTGCCCACAAAGGCATGATCCAGCACCCTCATGCCACAGCTGCCTCTGGAGTGACCCTCCCTCTGGTAAGAGGCATGCCTCACAGCTGAGTGCCTGGTTGTTTGTGTAGGGTGGAGGCTGGGAATCTTGTGGGCTCCCAGATATTGCTAGATCCAATGGCCTTCTGCCTCAGCCAGCATGGCCAACGGTCAGGGGTGATGGAATCCAACAACATCTAGAGGGTCACCAAATTCCCCATCCCTGGTCTAGTGAATTTGAGGTTCTTGGTTTCTCTCCCTCTGCCCCCTTTTGCCTGGAAAAGCACTTTGGCAGATTCCTTTGGAGGATTTGGGTGTGACAAGCTGTAGCAGCGCACTGAATAAAACAACTTTGAGAAGCTGAAATACCGGGCTGTTTTCTTTTCTAATAAAAATATTCACTGTGCAGTTCACAGGCACAAAACACAATGTTGATATTGTCCAGGAAATGGGTTTTCAGTTGGAGGGCATGGGTTGTGTGAGAGCATGTTGTGTGGGATAACCAGTCTCATATAACCAACATGCTTCAGTCTAATTAGTGCATGAAGGGGTTAACATCATAGAGTAAGCTGTCCTGCCATCTTAGCCATGTTCTCTTCCCCTTACCTTGGGAGTGAGTTCTGATCTATTCTGGTATTCACTTCTTCAGTGTGTAATGTACTGTAGGTTTTTCCTGATTTTATGGTTTTATCTTTCTGTAAACGGCTTTGATGTTTCTTACCATCTGGTGTGTATAAATTTTATGAAATAAATAAATAATTTTGAATAAATAAATAAATAGGAAAATGTAAAACCACAACCTCCGAAATGAAAGCTACTGTGCCTCCAGACGGATGTTTTTGCCTGGAGGGGGGCCGTATTCTGCAAAGTGCTCTCGATGCAATAATAGTGCAGCTTTCTAATGGACTGTCCACGCAAACATCATTCTGCTTTCTCAGTTGCTCTGCAATGCTTCGCCAGGGTTACCACATCATGGCCCCCTGGGGGTGCGCTCCTGTGTTGTAGCTCATGAAAAGCAGGACAAAATTCCTCTAGTATGGCTCACAGTGAGGGCTGCTGAGAGTTGGGAGAGATCTCGGAGGCCAAAGAGTTTGCTTTTCTGCTCAGTACAGGGGATCTTGCCAGCTCTTCACCCCTGACTGGCCGAAGATGCCCATCTCTCATCCAGGCAGCTCCACAGCGTGGATGCAATAATCTTGCAATTGTGGTGGACCAACTACATGTCATTTTGCTTTGCAAGTTGTTCTGTGATGCGTCCCCTGTGCTACTATATTATTATCAGCCAGAGGGGCCCTCTTGAGCTATAAAGTGCAACTTAAGTGGGACAAATCCCCCCCCCCCAATAACATTTAGGTGGATTTAGGGGAGTGCAACTGGTTTGGTCACACTGGCGTGAAGCCTTGCGGAATTTGAGATGCCGTGGTTCACCACTGAAGAACATTTGTGGTATGAAAAAGGTACCTGGTTTCAGCTGGAAGTTAGGGGGCACTGGTTGGAAGGGTCGGAGTATGTCTGTCCCGAAAGCTTTGCAGGCACGAACAGTACTGAATACAGTCTTGCATATAACTGCCCTCCTACTGATGATAGAAATGATAGAAACAATCAAGAATCGACAAAAATGGGCATCTGGAAGGAACCACTATGCCAACAGGATGTCGGACTGAATGGGCCTTGGCCTGACCCAGCAAGGCTCTTCAAATGCGCTTATGTTCCCCTGACTTTGGGGACGCCTTGCAGGAGTCTCACCCGTCTCATGGCTATTCTTCTAGTGTGGACCAGTTCGACAAGCTCTCCCCGAAAGCAGGTGCACCATCCAGAACATGCTGGCGCTGTACCTGAAGAAGAAAGCGAACACAGACCAGGAGGCAGGGACTTCTAGGGGAAGCGAGGCCTTCATGCGGGAAGCCTTGACTCCTCACGTGCTCCCCGGGATCAGCTTCGACCCCACCACCCAGTCTTCTGCTGGTGTCACTCTTCCCCTGGCCCAGAACAGGAGGCTCCTTCCCAACACGCAGAATGCCTTGCACGTGATCGATGGGCCTGTGCTCACTGTGACATAGGCAGGGCCGGATTTATGTATAGGCTAAGTAGGCTGAAGCCTAGGGCCTCTAGATCTAGGGGCCTCGCCAGCCTGCCCGCTCCCCAGCGCCGCAGACAGTCTTCCCTCTCCCCAAATTGCAAACCCAAGACTTCATGCAGGGCATTTCTCCCCATTTCAAGGACATTTTGCTTCAAAAGGAAAGGTGGACTGGGAGAAGGCAAGCAAAATGCGAGGGAGATAGTGAAAGATACAGGAAATTGAATGCAGATTTCCAAAAATAGCAAGGAGAGACAAGAGGGCCTTCTTACACGAGCAATGCAAAGAAATAGAGGAAAACAACAGAATGGGAAGAACCAGAGATCTGTTCAAGAAAACTGGAGCTATGAAAGGAACATTTCATACAAAGAGTACCATAATAAAGGACAAAGGTGGAAAGGACCTAACAGAAGCAGAAGACGTCAAGAAGAGGTGGCAAGTATACACAGAGGAATTATACCAGAAAGATATGGATGTCTCATACACCCCAGGTAGTGTGGTTGCTGACCTTGAGCCTGACATCCTGGAGAGCAAAGTCAAATGGGCCTTAGAAAGCACTGCTAATAACAAGGCCAGTGGAAGTGATGATATTCCAGCTGAACTATTAAATTTTGTTAAAGATGATGCTGTTAAGGTGCTACACGCAATATGCCAGCAAGTTTGGAAAACTCAGCAGTGGCCAGAGGATTGGAGAAGACCAGTCTACCTCCTTTAGAGGAAAAGGCCTTGAGGGGAGGACCTGTTGCCTCCACAATCCTTCCTAACGTGCATAAGCTGAGAGGCAATTGTCCGGCAAATGTGGTGCTGTGGGGAGGCAGGAAGATTTTCCTGCAGTTAAGTATTTTCTAAGTTCCTTTCCCGAAACTTCCCCAAACGGTTCTGAAGCCTCTCTAACCTCAGAAGTCTTTTCCTCTCTCCGGAATTCTGGGATTCGAGGATAACTTCATGGAGAAGGAAAGAAACCTGCAGAATCAGCAAATGAGTGCCCGCCGGGAGCCTCCACCCCCACCGCTGCCACCAAGCAGGCTGTAAGTTGCCTTAGAGGTGTACTGTGCCCTCCCGCCTCCTTGCTTTTATGTACTACTTGAGTTCTGTTCTCATCTCCCTGAGGCGTATCCGTGACAAGGAGAGCATGAGCAAGAAGCAACCCCAATGACCCACACTATGCGCCAGCTCTTTGTGCCTTCCACACATACGCAGTCCGGACAGAGAGAGGGACTCATCAAGCACGTCCTCGCCAAGAGAGAGAAGGAATATGTCAACACCCAGAATTTCAGGTCAGATCATGCAAAAGTGCAAAGCACCAGTGGAACCTGTATCAGAGTTGGGGCTGGAGAAAGCGACATCTACATGACAGCTTTATTGTTGGGTGCCAGGCAAAGTCTGTCCTGTTCACTCAGGCCACATGGGTGGGTAATGGAAAGTATTAGTTGTGGTGGGCAATTTTCCTTGGTGCCACATACTGAACCGTGGCTTCATTTTATGAGCAGGACGGCAGCCTCTCCTCCAGGTTTGCACACCTCTCCCCACCCCAAGCCTATTGGGAAGCTTCCACTTGGATTTTAAATTAACCACAGTTTGGTGTGTCCAGATCCTATGGTGGTTAATTTTACCAGCTTTGTAAACCCACGATTGGAAGTTGGCTTGTTTCAATGAGCCATGGTTCAAATGAAGCGGTTTGTGCAGCTTCAGACATTGTGACAAGATGCAGTTAATCCAAAACTGAAGCAAAACCTTTGGAACTCCTCCTAAAAGCTGTGCTGGAGGACAGGGAGGTGTGACCCCCCCACACACACTTGGTGTGGGTCATCCTTATAATGCTCAGCTTACTACTTCAAACAAAGTTTTTGCTTTGGTTATTTCCTCGTACTGTTAGTAGTAAGGTAAAGGTAAAGGGACCCCTGACCATTAGGTCCAGTCGTGGCCGACTCTGGGGTTGCGGCGCTCATCTCGCTTTATTGGCCGAGGGAGCCGGCGTACAGCTTCCGGGTCATGTGGCCAGCATGACTAAGCCGCTTCTGGCGAACCAGAGCAGCGCACGGAAACGCCGTTTACCTTCCCACCAGAGCGGTACCTATGTATCTACTTGCACTTGGATGTGCTTTCGAACTGCTAGGTTGGCAGGAGCAGGGACCGAGCAATGGGAGCTCACCCCGTCGCGGGGATTCGAACCGCCGACCTTGTGATCTGCAAGTCCTAGGCTCTGTGGTTTAACCCACAGCGCCACCCGTGTCCCACTGTTAGTAGTACCCAGTGGCCATTTGTTTTTCATGTCTGCTTTTATGATATGTTTATCAGTATGTGGTTAGCAGCTTCAGATGCTACTGTTTTACAGAGGCTGTTTAGCTTGCTCTGTGTACCCCTTTACTAGACAGGCTGTATTTCTGTGCTGTTTTCAGAGTCGGGAATGCCCATTCCTTCATGGCCAGCATGGAAACACAGAAGGCTAGCCATTTAGGAGGTTTGCAAAGAGGACAAGGGTGTTACGGGGTAATCTTCTAGCAAACAAGCTTGGCACAGCAGATCTGAGAGGTGGTTTTCTGCTCCCGGAAAGCCAGCCTGGAAACCAGGTTGCCAGGTGAAGGAAGAATGGAGAGATCAACCAACTCACTTGCCTTCAAAGAATTTCTGGTTGCCTGTGGCTACTGGGATAGTGCTTAGATATCAGGCTGGCTGACACATCTTAAAAATACAAGGAAAAAGCTTTTTTCTTTCATTAGCAAAGCTCCTTTGGGGCCCAGAATAGCTAAGCTGAGGAAGAAGTGGCTGGTATTACTTGTTTGTTCTTGGTCCTGATCTTGCCTGCCCTTGTAATCCTACCTGCCACACACTCCTGTTGTCTTTGCATATTTAACCAGCACGTCTGTTCAGATTGGAATCCTAATCCTGCAGTTCCACATCCTTCTCTTTGGCACTTGGGCATTCGGTTCCAGGAGCTGGACCTGAGCACAGAGGCTTTCTTCTACTTGGACTCAACAAAGGAGCAAGAGTGGCTGACAGTTGTAGAAAAGGCTTTGCGTTCCAAATCCAAGTACAAGAAAGTAAGTCCAATCCCACCCATTTCTTCAGCAGCCAGCCAGCTGTCAGGAGCTGGAGTGAGGAGGAGGAGGAGGTCAGCAATAAAAAACACCTGGTGTCAGTGGTGTTTTATTCAAAAGAAGCCAACATTCTTTATTCAAAGAAACCCAAACCGTGCAGGCCTCGTGATCACAGAAACCTTTCCCAACAGGTCTTGCCCCAGTGAGGTAGTTGTGAAGGCTGAAGGTTGCTACCCTCCCACCACTCTCTGAAGTCTCCTCCTCCCCCTGGTCCTTCCCAAGCAACCTGAGACTCTGACACCTTGCCTGTCTTTGCTCCATCCTCTTAATTTCTCTGTGTTCTGGGAGACCAGCAGGGAGGGGAGCTGATCGCAGCAGGATGGGGAGACCCCTGGCTTCTTCAGCAGCCTGCCTGATCTCTGCCTCTTGACCCCCGCCTCCAGCCTCCACTTCTGCCTCGGATTCTGGGCTGCTGTTTGCCACAGAATCTTCCTGCCCTCCTGCCTCTTCAGTTTCCAACACCTCCTCTTGCTCACAGTCTGCTCCCTCTTCTCCCTCGGACGACTCAGCGACTTCGTCCCCCTACCAGTTCCCTGGCTCTGAGCCTTCTTCCCTTGGGGGATCCCCAGTTGGTGCCCCCTGCCACTCCTATCTGCATCCAGCCGGCCCAGGACAGCAAGCAATGAACAGAGCTGGTAGACATCCCAGTACCTTGCATCTTCTAGGTGCAGCTGGTGCGTCTAGTCGGAATGATGTTGCTCATCTTTGTCAGGAAGGACCAGCTCAGCCGCATCAAGGAAGTGATGAGGGAGACAGTGGGCACAGGCATCATGGGGAAGATGGGGAGTAGACCCTGACAGCGGAATTCCTACGTCATCTTTCTGTCTATCTGTTTTCTAATCTCTGCCAACCAGTTTCCCCTCTTTCCTGCTTGCTCACTAACAGCCATCTTTGCTCCGCCCTGCAGGGTAACAAGGGGTGTGTGGCCGTGAGGCTTGTCTGCAACAATACCAGCTTCTGCATGGTCAATTCCCACCTTGCTGCCCACATGGAAGACTTTGAGCGCCGAAACCAGGATTACAAGGATATCTGTGCCCAGATAATGATGATGATGATGATGATGATGATAATAATAATAATAATAATATTTTTTATTTATACCCCGCCCTCCCCAGCCAAGGGCAGGTTTAGGGCGGCTAACAAGCAATAATTAAAACAGGTTGAATGAATACAACTTAAAAACAAAATTAAAATACAGCATTAAAATATTGAAACATTAAAATGCAGCCTCATCACAGGAGGAGAAAGGAAAAAGAAAGAGGGGGAGGGAATCAAATTGGCTCCAAGCCAAAGGCCAGGCGGAACAACTCTGTCTTACAGGCCCTGCGGAAAGAAATCAGATCCCGCAGGGCCCTGGTCTCATGAGACAGAGCGTTCCACCAAGCCGGAGCCAGTGTTGAAAAGGCCCTGGCTCTGGTTGAAGCTAATCTGACTTCCTTAGGGCCCAGGACCACTAGGGTGTTGCTATTTATGGACCTTAAGGTCCTCCGTGGGGCATACCGGGAGAGGCGTTCCTGTAGGTCTTAAGCCGTGAAGGGCTTTAAAGGTCAAATCCAGCACCTTAAATCTGACCCTGTACTCCACCGGGAGCCAGTGCAGCTAGAAAAGCACTGGGTGAATATGCTCCCATGGCAGAGACCCCGTGAGGAGCCTCGCTGCAGCATTCTGCACCTACTGGAGTTTCTGGGACAACTTCAAGGGCAGCCCCACGTAGAGCGAATTACAGTAGTCAAGCCTGGAGGTGACCGTCGCATGGATCACTGTGGCCAGGTCGGGGCAGGAAAGGTAAGGGACCAACTGCTTGATGCGGCGAAGGTGGAAAAATGTCACCTTGGCTGTTGCTGTAACCTGCGCCTCCATGGAAAGGGAGGCGTCAAGGATTACACCCAAACTCTTAACGGAAGGCAATGGCACTAATTGGGCCCCCGCAAGAGAAGGGAGTTGGTCCCTCATCCCCATGCCATCCCAACCCAGCCATAGGACCTCTGTCTTCGAAGGATTTAGTTTCAATCGGCTCCCACAAAACCATCCAGCCACAGCTTCCAAGCATCTGGTCAGTGTGTTTGGGGCCGAGTCGGTGTGACCATCCATTAGCAGATAGAGCTGAGTGTCATCGGCATATTGGTGACAGCCCAGCCCAAAGCTCTGGATAATCTGGGCAAGGGGGCGCATAAAGATGTTAAAAAGCATCGGAGAGAGGATTGCGCCCTGCGGCACTCCACACACTAAGTAGTGGCACGACGACATCTCCCTCCCTAGCACCACCCTCTGTCCCCGACCAGAGATAAAAGAGCACAGCTATGCCCTGTATCCCCACGTCGACAAGGCAGTGGTCCAGATGATCATGATTGACCGTGTCAAAGGCTGCTGACAAGTCTAAAAGAATCAGCAGTCCTGACCTGCCTCGATCCAGTTGTCTACGGAGATCATCTGTTAGGGCAACCAGAGCCGTCTCGGTCCTGAAACCAGGACGGAACCCGGACTGAAATGGACCTAAAGCCGATGTTTCCTCCAGAAACCTACCAAGCTGTTCAGCAACCGCTCTCTCAATTACCTTACCCAGATATGGAAGATTTGAAACTGGCCGGTAATTGGATAGGTCTAAAGGATCTAGTGAAGTTTTTCTTTAAGAGCAGACACACCACTGCTTCTTTCAGTTCCCCTGGGAATGTCCCCGTGCAAAGGGACAAATTGATAATTACAACCAGGGGGGTCCGTGCAACATCTGGACACGCCCTAATCAGCCAAGACAGGCATGGATCGAGGAGGCAGGTGGTGGGCCTACCAGCTTGGAGGAATCTATCCACATCAGCAGGGAGTAGCCGATTGAAATGGTCCAACACTGGACCCGAAGACAGTCAAGGAGCCTCCAGTTCAGTCACTGTATCTAAATTGGCAGGGAGGTCATGGCGGAGCAACAGGACTTTCTCCGCAAAAAAGCTCATGAATGCCTCACAGCTGTGGGTCGAATTTGTGCTTAAATTTGGTTGTCCTCCTAAGGACATTATCAACCTAATTATTCTAAAAAGTTGTGCCGGGCGAGAGCTAGCGGATGCAATGGAAGCTGCAAAGTAAGATATCTTAGCAGCTTTCATAGCCATCTCATAGGCTTTCATAAGCGTCCTATAAGATGTTCTTGAAGCTCTGTCACGAGTCTGTCACCATACCCGCTCTAGCCGTCTGAGATCCCACTTCATTTTCCGGAGCGCCTCAGTAAACCAAGGGGCCCGGTTTCAATGGGGTCGCAGATCTCATCAATGGCTGCCAAGAGCTGGTTATTGCAGTCCTCAACAAGGTCATCTAATGAGTCGCCAGGAGGAGCAGGGTCCCGCAAGGCCTGACGGAATCTATCAGGATCCATCAGCCTTCTCGGACGAGCCCAAATAGGCTCGCCACCCGAGCAGGGGAGGAGCGGGAAGTCAATCTTGGCTTTCAGAGCGTAGTGATCAGACCATGGCACTTCCACAGGGGGGGAGCATGATCACATCTATGCCAGCACCAAAGATCAGATCCAGCGTGTGGCCTGCTTGATGAGTGGGGCTCAAAGCAAACTGGGAGAGCCCTAGTGTTGCCATGGAAGTCACTAGGTCCAGAGCCTGTGAGGAGTGGGCGGCATCGGCATGGACAGTGAAGTCTCCCAAAACCAATAAGCTTGGGAACTCCAAGGCCCAGCCTGCCGCCACCTCCAGCAGGTCTGACAGGGTGGCTGCCGGTGCGCTGGGTGGTCGGTACACCAGCCAGACAGCCTAGCTCTCCTTGGTGCCCCACACGAGACCAACACATTCAATGCCGGAGATTGCCGGTGCTGGCAGAGCTCTGAAAGAGCAATCCTCTGGGATTAACAACGCTACTCCTCCCCCCCCCCGACCCACAGTCCGCGATTGATGGAGGACAGAGAAGCCTGGGGGTGTTATCTCATGTAGGGAGACTACTTCGCCTTCCCATACCCAAGTCTCCGTCACGCAAGCCAGGTCAATCCCCTGCGAGACAAAAAAGTCACGCATGGTGGCGGTTTTGTTGCCTATGGACCTGGCATTGCAGAACACCAATGACGGAGGTGGGTAATCCCTGCTCGCCCTACCCTCGTCCCTTGGAATGGGGAGTAGATTGGAAGGGGTTCGAGCATCACTGCATCTCAAAACCCTTCGCCGATAGTGATATCTAGCCCCACCGCCATTCCTCCCTAGCCCTTCAGTAATGGGAACCCCAGACCCCATACTAGCCTCCCCAATAGAGGGGTAACATACCCTCACTGACAAGTCATCCCTGGGCCAGGACCCCTGGGTCAAAATGGTAAGGGGAAGAGGTGAAGGTTTGATAGGGTAAGTATCCCTAGAAGATAAAACCCAACCAACCACACCCCAAGCGGGGAGGGTGGTCCCACAGTGTTTCATTAACTGTCAATCCCCCTCTCCCTCCTGGATTGATTGGAGGACTGTTGGTTCTATCTGTGGCTGTGGGAGTATTAATGAGGCATGTGCTATAAAATGTGGATCACTGGCCAACAAAGAGCCAGCTTCGAGTTTGGAAGATCTGTCCATCCTGTCTCGCCAGGAGTACAGTAGAGAAGGTTGATCATTCTGATAAATTTTTGGAACATTAGGCAAAGGTCCAGATGTAGATTGGGTGCTGGATTTCTCCAGATTGTCAGCAATGTAGAGTTCTTTAGGTGTTGTTGTTGGGAATCAAGCCTTTATCAGGAGAAACTGGCCACTCTCCAGGCACCCGGCTTGATCTCCTGTTGACCTCCCTGTCTGCATTCCCCAGCAGGATCCAGGCTATGTCGCGATAGGCGATCCTTCTCAGCGTGAGAAGAACACCCCCCCTCTTTCCTGCCCCCCCCCCAGGCAGGGGAAAGAGATAGACAGAAACGTATTTACATGCCTTTATTTCTGTCTTTGCAGCGTTACAAAAATCATGACTGCTCTCTTCAAGCTCCAGCAGTCGAGAGTGAAACAAAACCTGTACTTCCTGTCCAGCTCATATTACACTCTGAGCTAATTCCGGTGCCCTCTGCACTGTGAATTGACTGTCCCTCTGTTTCCCACGGAACAGTCCCAACATTCCCATTATGTTTTGCTTTCAAGCTACCAGCAGCTCGCGGCTGCATTGCTTCTATATCGTAACATACTCCCCATATGAATCAATGTGCGCTGCGAGCAAAGCGTGATCCAGAGAAGAAAACAAACAGTTGTTATACATATAACACTCCCTGTTGTTTCAGTTCCACCCTTGGAACTACCCGCCACTGGTTTCCCCAGTGTACCTCTCTGGTTGTCTGACTTCCAAGGAATGAGTGCATCTGCATTACCTTGGCTAGGGAATGTAGCATTACGCTTAGCAACTCTCTGTTGTGTCTTTGTCTCTGACTTAGACACACCTTTAACCTGTCTTGAGTTGTCAACAATAGTAACACATGCTACAGCTGAGTTAGCAAACTCCTTTGAATACCTCTTGGGTGGTACGCCCTTTGTAACTCTCTCGGACCTGCGTATAAGGTGCTGATCCTCTCTGCTCACTGGTTCAGTCTCAGGACTCTTTGGAGAACCAGTTCCAATAGTAAACAGTGGTTCATCCTTCACCTGTGAAGGTCTATCCATTGTGTGAGATTTCCTCTCAATGACTGTGTCAACTGAGCTCTTTGAGCTATCACTGTCACTCTCAGTACCACTGTAATCAGTAAAATCATCATCATCATCTGAATTGTCCTCAGTGGGAAATGTGTGAACAATTACTCTCTCCTGTTCAGGAGCACTCTCTAGAAATTTTGTGAGAATCACTTGACCAGATTCAGACAAAATTACTCTGTAGAGACCCTTTTCATATCCCACAAAAATGCCTCTAGCATTCTTTACTCCACCTGGAGCATCAGATTTGACATGAGACCCAAAAACCTTAAAATGGGCAACATAAGGTTTTCTGTGGAACAGCTTTTCAAAAGGTGAACTTCCTAAACCTTTTGAAACCTTTCTCACCCAACTGTAACAATAACACAATAACGATTCCACCCAATACTCATGTGGCAAATGTGAACTCAGCAATTGCGCCTTCATCCCATTTTGCAATTCTTTGTTCACTTGTATACAGATACTTTTGTTCCATGCACCTGCTGAAACAGCAGTCTTGTGCCTTATCCCTTTCTTATCCAGGAAATCCTGAAAATCCTGCAAAAGAAAAACTGGCTTTTCATCTGTGAAAAGACAATCAATGTTAGCATCATGAACATTCTTAACCTTGTCACAAAACTCTTTAAACCTTTCTAAGGCTTCTTGTGGTTTCTGCAATATATATACCCACACATAATGAGAGAAATAATCCACACACACAAGATAATATCTTGCATTGCCTCTAGATGGTGCTAGAGGACCAATCACATCAGCATACACTCGCTGAAAAGCTTTGGTTACTTGCGTCGTCTTCTGGACGTTTTTCGTCTCACCTGCAAGAGAAATCATGTTAGACTCAGATGCATTACAATTTATGCAATCACTTTGATCAAAAGTCAACAAATACAGTCCATCTTTCTCTCTGGCAGAAAGATACAGCTCTCCATCTTTGAAGATTTTGCAGCTTTCTCTATCATAGGACAAAGTCAGTCCTTTCTTTGTGATCTGCGAAACACTCAGCAGATTGAACTTTAAATCAGGAACCAAATACACATTGTTAATAGTCAAGTTCAGACTCTCAAGATACACAGTTCCAAACCCAGTCGCTTTCAGCTCCTGACCGTTGGCCTGTTTCACAGCGAAGCTTTGCTTCTTAAACGTAGAAAACAGTTCTGGGCGCGACGTCATGTGTTGCGTCGCTCCAGTGTCCAAAATAAAAGCGTTTTCCACTTCTGGTGTGGCTTTTAGTGACATCAAAGCCATAGCTAGTTCCACTTGGGACTTGGTACGACTTTTGCCTGACACCTCAGGCTTTGCAGAGCTTCCCCTAGCTCCTTTCTGCTGACGTGGCCTCTTACAGTTCCGCTGAAGATGCCCAGTCTGTCCACAATTGAAACAACAGACAACATTCAAAGCAACAGCCTGTTCTTTCCTTGCAATGGCAGTGGGGGCGCTACAACTCCGAGCTTCTCTCCCCCTGTCAGCAACATCCATTGCAGCAAGTACAGGAACAGCAACAGTTCCTTCACTCCCCCTTTTGGGGTCAAAGCTCTCCTCAGCTTTCGATGAGCTTTTAGGAATTTGGCCAGCACCATCTTGGCTCCCCCCTTCTGGGGTAGTACACTTTCGGCTCTTGCTTCTCACTCCAGCTTCACAAGCTTTTCGGAGCTTCTGAGAGAACAAAGCCATCTCAATCTCAAGCCTCAGCTTTCAGCAGTGAGCTTGTAAAATCCAAGAGTCTATTGGCTGTTTACTGCCTCACTTGGCAGCTAAACGCAGGCTGTTTTGAAAGTCCCTCCAAGAGCAGTGAGATAATAGACAAAACAAACGCTGTTTTCTCAGTGTTTTTCCAGCCTCTCACGGTGCCAGCCTCACTTCCGTGTTGGCTAGTAACTTTCCACTTTACTGACGTTTTGTTGCTTAGCAACTGGACATTCCAGGTTTGAGCAGCAAACCTTATCAATCTCAGGAATGCGAAATATGCAGGCTTTCTTTTCCGTGCTCTTTTTAGCCAAAAGCAGACACTCAGTGAACCGAAGAATGCTTCAATTCGCGTTCACTCTAACAGCCATAAAATCACCATACCTTGAGGGAATCCGTTGCTCAGCAAAAACACCTTCTCCGGTGCTCAGCCGTCCTTGTAGCTTCCATCCTCCCGCTACCACATTCTTTCTTTATCTCCTTGCAGAGGATGAAGTACGATCCATCAACCTCTCTTGTTGCTTTCATGGATCAAAACCATCGGCTCCTTGCTACCAGATGTTGGGAATCAAGCCTTTATCAGGAGAAACTGGCCACTCTCCAGGCACCCGGCTTGATCTCCTGTTGACCTCCCTGTCTGCATTCCCCAGCAGGATCCAGGCTAGGTCGCGATAGGCGATCCTTCTCAGCGTGAGAAGAACACACCCCCTCTTTCCTGCCCCCCCCCCGGGCAGGGGAAAGAGATAGACAGAAACGTATTTACATGCCTTTATTTCTGTCTTTGCAGCGTTACAAAAATCATGACTGCTCTCTTCAAGCTCCAGCAGTCGAGAGTGAAACAAAACCTGTACTTCCTGTCCAGCTCATATTACACTCTGAGCTAATTCCGGTGCCCTCTGCACTGTGAATTGACTGTCCCTCTGTTTCCCACGGAACAGTCCCAACATTCCCATTATGTTTTGTTTTCAAGCTACCAGCAGCTCGCGGCTGCATTGCTTCAATATCGTAACAGTTGTTGCCATAGAAATGTCGGAGGCGCCAAATTCCTCATCTACTTTGGTGTCGCTTGAAAAGGGAACAGGGAGTTGCACTGATGTCTTTCTATGGGATAAAGAGCTGTTGGACCTCTTTAAATATTGTGCTCTAGGCTCTACTGTCCTTATATTTGGGGTAGAAATCTCAGTCTTTATACTCATTAGCCTCTTCTTCAGGTCTTGTAAATCTAGGCTTACAGAATTCTTTTCTTCCTTCGGGCAGTTAGTATTTCTAGTGTTAAGCTTGCTTTCCCTTGTCCGCATTAGCTTTGACTCTATGCAAGGAACCAATTGCCTCCTTGTTTCGTCCTTAAATACCCTCACTGGGCGGAGAGAGTGGAACCACCATAGAGTATCCTTTATCTCCATGAGTCGAGATGGGAGAGCTGATGACCTAGAGGTCATAAATAGGCGCGTGATGGTTCCCAAGGTAGGCAGGAAGTGGAAATTTTCTAGATCTCCATTTCGGTAATGGTAATTTAGGAGCTGAGACAAGGAGCTGAGACAAGAACATGCCATTTGGATAGGATTTAAAAAGATATTTCTACAAGCAAGGAGTTTGCCATTAGGGAGCATTAAAACATGCATTCCCTGCGAAATGGTGATTTGTTATTATGCAGATTAGTCTAAGTGAAGACTGTGATTGATTGCATACAAAGCAGCTTCCTAGACACTGTAAACATACAGCGGCCATAGGCCCACATACATGTTGGGTGTAGTGAAGGGTTAACCTTCTGTGTCTCGAGGCTGAGAGGAGGCGCTTACAAGGGAAGTAAGCCAGGACGTGACGAATGCAGCTTGGAATGCTGTGAGCTGAGTGAAAAGTGAAAGCAGCTTTGCTACGCAGCTGCACACTGAGAGAAGGACGCAAAATGCAGCTTGATTCAGATGGTGTCTCCTGAATTGTAAATATGCTACTTTTGAGCAAATAAAGTGCTATTAGGAAAGAAGAAACGTGTGGGACGTCTTTACTGCCCTTCCGACACGGACGCTGTGCAATTCTGCTAATTGCTTTACAACCTGCAGAGGAGTGCAGGGGAGCGTGCCGGACACCAAGAGTAAAGCAATAAATCTCCACCTTAACAGGAGTCATTTTATAATGCATTATGTAGCACATGCTGCCCAATTGCTCCTCATGCTGTTCTCTCTTGGAGCAAGCAGGAGAAGCAAAGCACAAGGCCTTGGCACCACATCACGTCTGAACCCGGGACTGTGGCCTTCTCATAATAAGCAACAATTGCCAGCCAATCTGAAGTCCCTGCTTATGGCTGGCCTGCTGACTGTGGCTTGTTAGGAAGCAACAAACCATGACCAGATGTAATGGGGAAAACAAAGCTCCCAGGTTTGTTTATCCTGCTTGTGCCAGGAGCAAAGGGGGAGAAATATAGCAATGGTCACAAGCAGAAAGTCGATGGTGATGTGTGAATACATAGATTACAACACCCTTGCACTCACCATGATTATGGGAGTTCAGCAACGTCTTCTGGCGCAAGCAAAAATGGACCCACTGGGTTTGTCCCCCCTTTCAAAACTGGTTCCTACTAAGAGCAGCAGGGCTTAGCAAAGAAGGGAAATTACCAAAGCCATTTTTTTCAATGATAAAAAACTGCAATTTAATTGATATTTGGAGATTGAGACACCCACTGGAAAAACAATTTACATTCTATTCAGACCCAAATCAGTCAATATCGAGAATTGATCAAATATGGGTCTCAAATGAATTAACTCCAAGAATCAGGCAAATAGAAATTCAACCTAGAGTAATCTCAAACCATAGTCCAATAAAACTTGAATTACAAGGATACGAAGAAAAATCGTTCAGATGGAGAATGAATGATTATCTCCTAGATGATCAAAAAATTGTTGAGAAAGCCCAAAAGAATCTGTTCGACTACTTTGTAAATAATTCTAACAAAGGTACGAAAATGAATACAGTATGGGATGCGGTTATGAGAGGATTTTTCATCCAGCAGAATTCAATCAAAAATAAAAGCAGAGAAAAAGGGAAGAAGGAAATCTTAAGACAAATAATGGAAAACGAACAAAAACTAGTTAAGAAACCAAATAATGACAAAGCAAAACAGAATATAAAGGCTCTGCAAACTCAATTTGCGATGATAATCAACAAAGAAGTAGAATGGAATATAAAAAGAATGAGACAAAGGAACTTTGAATCGGCTAACAAATCAGGCAAATGGCTGGCATGGCAAATTAAAAAAAGAGGGAGGGAGAAGAAATAGACAGTCCAAAAGGCATTAAAAAAGGATTCTTGGATTTTTACAGACATCTATATAAAAGAACAGAGAAGAACAATATGAGGAAGATAGAAAGATATCTAAATGAAAAAAAGGTGCAGAAGATCCCGACAGAAAAAAAAGATAAGCTGAACGCCCCAATAGAAATTGATGAAATAAAAGAGATTATAAAAGAACTCAAAAAAGGGAAAGCTCTGGGACCAGATGGATTTACAGCAAGTTACTATAAAGAAATGAAACACATCCTGTCAACACCCTTGAAAGAAGTCGTGGATGGGGGCCACTAGGGGGCGCATTGGAAGATGGCCAACAATACCATCTCTCCGACCCACACGGGGTAATTAAGAGGCTGTTATGGGAGTAGGCAGTCTCCCTTGTTGCCCCAAGGAAATGGGGAACACTGCCCTTGCCTGCTGTGCCCATAAATCACCCCCTAATTCAAATGAAGGGGGTGAGGGCCCTAGGCAGAATGCCCCCGTGTGGACATCGGCACTCCTGGACGCTGTCTCTGATCGCGCACTAGTTGCAGCAATTTGGAATAATTAATTACAAAAGAAGCAAATGCACATATTTCAAGTGAAGGGGAGTGAAGTCTGCTAATTTAAGTGACCACTGCCAAACAAGCCGCCGGGCTGGATAAACAGCATTTTTTTACGATGAAGATACACCAAAGGGGGGGTATTTTCACACGGGGGCTGAATGGGGGGGGGACCTTTTTTACTTTCCTTCTATGTGATTTACAAGAACCCCTCCTCATTAGAACCGTCGGTTGAACTGACCCAAGCAGGATGATTAAGGTCTGTGTGGAGATAAACTTTAACCAAAGTATGCTTTATGGAGACCGAGAAGCAATAAGAGCTTTTGGGAATGGCGCAGCAATTAATTGGAGTTGCCATCTTGCCAAAGGATTTATAGCCGGGAGAAAGAACGGATTTGTTTTCAGACTGCATTCCTAGTGAATCTCCTCAGAGGTTTTGAGAAGGAGGCAGATTGGTGAAGATTAATGACGCTAAGACTGTTTTGATGTATGGAAGTGATATTATATGGAAAACGTCTGGATATGGCTACTGGATAAAAAAAAAAAATCCACACAGGATTACAAACTGTTCTAACCAGCTTGCGGAGACTATCAGAGGTCACAAAGAGAAAGGAAAAATATATGAAAATAACAACAAGAGATGTGGAAAAATAATAAGAAAGGACTGGATAGTACTGTGAACATCATAAGGTTAGATTTGTGGACATTAAAACAGCAGTAAGAATCAAGAAGTTGATTGGATCCCTTCGGAACTTGAAATATGGGTACCCCCAACAAAAATTAAAATTTCGGCTGTGTAATTTGGAATTTATGTAATTTGGTTTGATTTGATGTGATTGGTTGGTTAATAAAAAATAATTCTTAAAAAAAAAAAAAGAAGTCATGGATAATATTCTTAAGGAAAGAGAAATTCCAGAAACATGGAAATAAGCATTTATTACTTTTATTCCAAAACAAGATTCTGATCTGACACAAGTTAAAAATTATAGGCCTATTTCGTTACTAAATACAGATTACAAAATCTTTGCAAGTATTTTAGCAAAGAGGATTAAAAAAATATTACAAGAAGTTATTCACAAGGACCAAGCGGGTTTCCTACCTGCCAGACAGATGAAAGACAATGTAAGGAATATAATAACATTTTGGAATATCTGACTGCCAGGAATGAGAAACAAGCTATGTTAATATTTGTGGATGCAGAAAAGGCCTTTGATAATATATCTTGGGATTTTATGTTAAAAAATTTAGAATATATGGAGGTGAGGAAGGAATTCCTCAATGGAATAAAGGCAATATATACTGAACAGAAAGCTAAGTTAATTGTTAATAACGTGATTACGGAAGAAATAAGGGATAACCAAGGGTACACGACAAGGGTGTCCACTTTCGCCACTGTTGTTCATTATGGTCCTGGAAGTCTTTCTAAAATCCATAAGGGAAAATGAGGTAATAAAAGGGGTTGCGGTAGGCCTGAATGAATATAAGGCCTTTGCCGATGATCTGGTTCTAACGGTGGAGGAACCTTTGGAAAGTGTTAAAAATATACTTATAGAGGTGGAAAGATTTGGTCAAGTGGCAGGATTTATATTGAATAAGAAAAAGACTAAAATAATTGCTAAGAACATGGATCAAGAGACGATAGGAATAATGCAACAACAAATAGGTATAGAAGTGGTGAAGAAGGTGAAATATTTGGGTATTTGGATAACCCCTAAGAATATTGATTTGTATCAGAATAATTATATACCAGTGTGGAATGGTATAAAGAAAGATCTGGAGGTGTGGGGACGAATGAAGTTATCACTGTGGGGAAGGATTTCAACGATAAAGATGAGCGTACTGCCAAAACTGTTATTTTTGTTTCAGACAATTCCAATAATCAAAGGGACTACGACCTTTAAAGAATGGCAAAGAGTAATTTCAAGGTATATCTGGCAGGGCAAGAAGCCAAGAATTCAATTTAAGTTACTAACAGACGCAAAAGAAAGAGGAGGCTTCGCCCTGCCAGATTTGAAATTATATTATGAAGCTTCATGTCTCTGTTGGTTAAAGGAATGGGTAAAATTAGAAAACACAGAGTTGTTAGATATAGAAGGATTTGACAACAGATTTGGGTGGCACGTGTATCTATGGTTGGAAAAGAAGAAAATCCATAAAGGTTTTGAGAACCACATTTTCCGAAGATCGTTGATAGAAATATGGGATAGGTATAAAAACCGACTTGAACCAAAAACTCCGCACTGGTTATCTCCATTAGAGGTTATGAGTGTTAAAAAAATCAATATGAGAAGAAATTGGATTACATATGGAAATTTGATTGTTAAGGAAGGGGGGAAATGGAAAATGAAACCCTATGAAGAAGTAAAAGAGTACTGTATGTATATGATTGGTTGTACTATTTTCAAATAAATGAAATGTTTAAAAAAGATCTTACGGAATATGGATTTGTAGAGAGGGATTCAAAGTTCCAAATGGAAATAATAAATAATGAATATAAAATCTTATCTAAAATGTATAAGATATTGCTGGAATGGCATACAAAGGATGAAGAAGTTAAATCTGTTATGATACATTGGGCCAGAGATTTTGGATATATATACAATTTAATGATTGGGTTAAATTATGGAATGAAAATATCAAATTTACCGCATGTACTGCGCTAAAGGAAAATGTTATGAAAATGATCTACAGATGGTATATTACACCGGTAAAACTTGCAAAAATGTATAAAACATGCAAGAAATGTTGGAAATGTAAAGAAAAGGATGGTACTTTTTACCATATGTCGTGGGAATGTAAGAAAGTGAAGAGCTTCTGGGAATTGATATATAATGAATTGAAAAAAAAGTTGAAATATACATTTGTTAAGAAATCAGAGGCCTTTCTTTTAGGGATAATAGGAAATGAAATAAATAGAAAAGATTGTAAACTTTTCCAATATGCAGTAACAGCAGCAAGAATATTACTGGCCCAGAATTGGAAACAAGAATAAGTACCAACATTGGAGGAGTGGAGAATGAAGCTGATGGACTATGCAGAGCTTGATGAACTGACAGGGAAGATTAGATATCTACGAGATCAAAAGTTCATCGAGGACTGGGGAAAGTTAGTGGAATATTGGGAATGTATAAGTGACAATGAAATAACGTTAGTGGCATTTAAAGAAGCTCTGTAAAAACCTAAGAAATATTGTAAAAAAGAAAAATAGGGGTGGAAGGGTATGTCAAAAGGCAATAGCAAATTTAGGAAATGTGTAATTAAAAAGTTTAATTCGGATGATTGTCAGAGAGGCTGAAGGAAGTCCAAAAACGAGAAAATTTGTTAAAGTTGTAATGTGGTGTGATATGTATTTTTCATGATGAAAATTAATAAAAAATATTATTAAAAAAAACACAAAACTGGTTCCAACTGGAATCCTGATGGGAGTTTTGTTTAAGATGCAAAGTGTGTTTTGTTGATGCAGAAAAGTGGACTCAATTAACTAAGCAAGGGCATTCAGAGTAGAGTAACTAAACAGGTAACATTGAATACCAAGAGCTGTTGTGTTTTTCTGAAATCTGTTCAGGCAAAAAGTGTTCAGTACCAGATACACCTGCCCTGTGGTGCTGAAGATTTCTGTGTGAATTACAGAACATGAACTGGTTACTTGACTAGGAGCCAGGAGCACGTAAAAAGGAGGGAGGGGGGCACCTCACAAACATGAATTATATCTACATCACCAAAGGAAAACCACAAATAAACGCTGACAGTCCTTTAAGAACTCATTTCTTATTAAATGCAGGTCAATTGTGTTCAGATGTCTGTGACCCTGTCCTTGAGAAATGGCAGAGGTCACAAAACCTAGCAGAGAATTCTGCCACTTATTCCATCTGTTATTTGCATAGCCTATGGCTTTATTTATGTACCCCTGAAGGGAAGTTTTCTTTCTGCAGTTCTCTCACTGTGAAGTTCTCTTTCTGCAGTTCTCTTACTGCACATAACTGTTGCATTGTGGGAAGTCTTACTATGAAATCTTTCTATGCTTACTATGAGCACTATTGCTTCTTTTCTCTCTTACATTCTGGGAAGTTTTTGCCTCTGCACATAAGTCTGAGAATGTTCTGAACAGTTCCCATTGAGTTCATGAAACAGTGTATCCTGACCTGTTCTTAATGCTTTGCTGACCACATTTACGGAACGTGATTGTTGTATTCCTTCATGTTATGTTCTCTCAATATCAATCTTTAGTTATAATTTAATTAGGAGGTTTCATGCCTGTCTAGTTCCAGCTCCGTTCCCAGACTTTTGAACTATCAGTGATTGATGTCATATGTAATGCCCGCCTTGTACCTATGTTAACCAATCAGCAACAAGATGCTTTGTGTTTGTATCAACCAATCAGCCACAAGCACACCTGTGGCAATGTTTGTAATATTCAATAAAAGAGAGTTCCCGGGACTTGCCCCGGGCAGACGTCTCTCCTTTGACACCCACCATTCGTCTGTCGTGATTTCAACCCAACATACCCCAAAAGTAATAGTGTAGTGTCCTGTGGGGGAGGTGTCCAGTCTCAAGTCAAACAAGAGCATGTAATAACCCATCTGAATATGGCAACTGTAAGCTCTGACTCACTTGCTAAATATTCTCCTATCCTTGTCATGGTATCACATGGCAATTGCTGCCTACCGTCAAGAACAGTCCATTATGCAGATGTAGTTTTGGTTACTGCATTTTGCTAACTTAGGTGCCGTTTTCATCTGCCCCCAGACAACTCACCCCCCCCCCCCAAAAAAAACCCAATCACTGCAAGGATTCAGGAAACTGTGTAAGGGTCGAGGCACCCGAACACATAGTTTTGCTAGAACTTTTATGCAACGACTAGACTGGTGAAGTGTTAGGTTCCATACAGCATCGTCCAACAGTAGTGCTTGCTGTACCCTCCAGTTTGGTGCGCATTAAGGATTCTGCACAGGAATTCAGTTTTTCCCATCACGACTCAAAGAAGTGACCTCCAAAATACATTGTGCAACTTTCTCCAATGGGTAAAATGCCTTCATGGTGACTGAAACACGAGGCAAAGCAGAGGTGGATTTAGGGCAGTGACGCTCTTCCCCTGCACAGGATGTGGGGGCCAGTATGGATCCTTCCTTCCTCCTTCCCCAAGCCTAGTTAGCGCTATCCCAGCTTTGGGACTGAGATGAGAGGGCTCTAGGACCCCACCAGAGCCTTGTGCATCCTTCCCCAAGCCTGACCCCTCCCTGCCTGGCTTTTGGAAGGCACCAGGAGGGCACCATATTACCAAGGTCGCTCCCTGGGCAAAGTGTCATTTGTTCTTCAGTAAGAGTGTCTGTGCAAACAGAACAGAAACGGTGATGGTAGGGATGAATGGAAATGACCTTCCGTTGAGCACTCTGTCTTAAGCTCCCCTCGAAAGCTGGGGGATGCATATAGGTTCTGGTAAGACCAGACACATTTGCACAGAGTATTTGATCCCCACAGCCCATGTTCACGGAGACAATGACATCTGTGGAAGTCCTAACCATGCCACATGATTGACAGGCTATGTGCAAGTCTAATATGGGGTGTGTGCAGCTAGGCCCCTGCAGCAGGCTGCGGGGAGACTAAGGAAGCCTCCCTTTTTAAAAAGGTGTTCAATCCAGTGCTGAACTGGAAGCATAACACTGGCCCTCCAAGCTATCACGGGTGAGGTTTCACTATGTTACAAGACTCCTTAAAATCGAATAACAAAGAAACATGGGGGGAAATATTATGAGACTCACCGCAGCCCATATACCTTGCCGATTAAGGCCTGGTGAGATGCTGCTGATTAGCTGGATAGCCCATGTTTTCTACCAACGGAAGATTGGGTGGCATACATTTAAGATACAGGTAGGTAGCCGTGTTGGTCTGCCGTAGTCGAAACAAAATAAAAAAATGCCTTCCAGTAGCAGCTTAGAGACCAACTAAGTTTGTGATTGGTATGAGCTTTTGTGTGCTCATGTATCTGAAGAAGTGTGCATGCACACGAGAGCTCATACCAATCACAAACTTAGTTGGTCTCTAAGGTGCTACTGGGAGGCATTTTTTATACATTTAAGAGAAAGTCTTTCATTTAAGAGTTATCAACATAAAACGTTTTAAAGCAATTAGACCTATTAGTACAGCAGCATCCCAAAGTTCAACAGGTCAAGCCATTCATAGTTCCACTATGACTACGTGACAGGGCTGAGAAAGGAGTCACCGCAACTCAAGTTGACTTCATCATGCGAGGTTCAAGTCTTACATGCTTGCTGCTTGAAACATGGCCCTATGGGTGCAGCTCCCCACAGCAAAGCATTTCTCAAAAGCAGAGAATTACTTTATCCTCTGCCAACCATTTGAGGAGTGTTTCACATAAATGGCTTAGCTCATCTCCATTGGATTCTGCCCCACGTGGCAACCTCGGTACGGACTCCACTATGAATTGCTCCATAAGCATATGCCTGGACAGGAAAAGCTGCTCAGATCTAACATGATGGCTGTATTCTCTTCAAGAGAAGACTCGGACCACCCAGAGTTCTTTGTAATAAACCATTCATGCATGCAGCGTTAGAAATGAGCCACAGTGTTGTATAAACCTTGGTCTTTATTAGGGCTACATCAACAGAAAGAGGGGTTTGCCACTAGAAAACAAGTAGATGTGGAACAGACTTCCACCAGTGAGTGGTTGGCTTTGGTTTTTTACAAGGCAAATTGCAAAAAAAAGCTGCAGGTTGTATTATCATAGATGACTATGACTAGCCTAGTCTTGAATAGATGAGTTCACTCAACATCAGTCTTTTCTCAAAGCAGCAACAGAACTAGAACAGAAATGAGATATCGGCACAAAGCAATGTGGCAGCAGCAGACATATCCTCCAAGCTGTTCTTCAAACGTCTACAGACCTCAAAAATGTGAGCTGCAAAAACCTTAAAGCAAAACGAAGCTGAAACAGTACAACTGGACTATAAGGAGGCCAACTGGGAAAAAGTGAAATTGCTAACTGTCATATTGAAGTCATATATACTGTACTTGGTGTGTTCTTTGGAGTTCACTCATGTTTATGAAGGCCACATTAGACTGTGTTCAGGAACACCCATGTCTTCACATATAAATTGGATGATACTCCTTTGGAGTGAGTTTCCTCCTACAAATTGGGCAAAAGTTAGCATACCTAAGAAAATTGCTGAGGCACTGACTACAGAAGATGTGGCCACATGTTGTTGACACTATAAGCCGTCCGCTTTGCACAATCTCTGCAAAGCTGTCTATGCAAATTCCACAACTCAAAGTGCCTGAGGATCTTGCAAATTCCCTCCTTCCCACTTCTCTGGGAGCTTTCTAGTGGCAAGAGCACCACTCTGTGTGTGTCTGCTATCATCACCACCACCACCACCACCACTAAATATGAGGCTGTCAGACAATGGTTGAGGTCTGAACTCTCTATTGGGCTGCTGCCCACTCTCTCCAACAAGCACAAGAGAATCGTTTTGCGTAAGATCAACAACTAGAGGTTCTGAAGTTTCGCAAGCGAGGTCAACTACTTCCACATCCATGCTTCTATCGTTAAGGCTGTGTGGCAGGGAGGAGGAGGCGGAGGAGGAGGGGATACAGGGTTCAGAAGCAGTTCCCAACATCATCCTGTCCAGAGTATGAGGAGGTCTTGTGGAGGTGTTGCAACTGCCCCTCTTGCTTTTGCTGTGCTGGGTTGCATTACATTCTGTACTTGTTGAACTCATGATGCACAGGGATGGGAGAGGCACAGGCTGCAGAGTACTTGCTTCCCCCCTTATCTCCGTGTGCTGCTCCCTGCTTAGTCGCCAAGCAATTCTGTAATGTGATAAGGATGATCATGAATGCTCTCTCTAAAGCAACTTGATGCAACTGGTGACGCTTTGGAGCACCGTGACTTTCTCAGAGTTGTCTCTTTTATAGCAGGTACTCCAAAGTTGGAGCAAGTTCAACATCTTGAGGAGTTAGGGCAGGCTTCCTCAACCTCGGCCCTCCAGATGTTTTTGGCCTACAACTCCCATGATCCCTAGCCAGCAGGACCAGTGGTCAGGGAGGATGGGAACTGTAGTCTCAAAACATCGGAAGGGCTGAGGTTGAGGAAGCCTGAGTTAGGGTGTCTTTCGTGTTACTCTATAGAACTGCATTCACGTGGGAAGAAACAGGATTAGGCTAAGAAGCAGGCACACAACTATTAGTTTTCTATCTTTCAGCCAAGAGATTAGCTAAAACAATTAGGATTATTACGAGGTGGAGCATCTTTCCCTACCTTGACAGTCCTCTTTATACAAGAGTCTGATAAGGAGAAGGGAAGAACTCATGATGAATGTCTCTTCTTCAAGAAGAACCAGGGCACATAGCCAAGCTGAGGACGATGGGAAATCTTAAATGAAATTCATTGGAGTTGCCTCTACTAGAGCGCACCTCCTATGGCTGCTCTTGCAAGAGGTATTTTCCAGGTATGACACAATCAATGTGTACACCCAACAGGGTGGATAAAAATCAATGATTTAAAAAAGAATAATTAAAAAATGTGTTTTTTATTTAAATTGGATTTTTAAAATAAAATGCTTTCGGAGGAAAGATCTTTCTAAAGATAGTTTTCTATTTAAGTTACATTATAGTCCAAAGGCTATTCATCAGGAAAGAAGTATTTGTTTTAAGTCTTTCATGAACAAAAATCCCCCACGTTTAACCACATCGGACAAATTGAAACATCCAAAACAGTAAAACACCCCAAAATCTTTCCTGTACCGAAGCCAATTGGATTGACTGTTGAATCTTCTTCCAAGTACTTTGGAAAGGACAGGAGCTTTCCCTGCACTTGAGAGCAGTCAGCTAACGTAGGGGTACAGGACAGGCCACAGGCCACTCCCAGCTCAATCCCCTCACCTCAGCATCGGCCGCCTGAGGCAGCTGCCTCACTCTGGCTCATCAGAGGTCCGGCCCTGCTTGGGAATATGAGTGGGAGAGGGCCATTGCACTCAGGTCCTGCTTATGGGCTTGTTGTGAGCCTCTGCTGGGCAACTATGGGGAACAAGGTGCTGGACTAGATCATCCATTGGTCTAATCCAGAAGGACTGTTCTTACATCCGGGCTGGACTGGAGGCAACTCCAACTTGCATAAAGCCCTGGAACACCAAGAATTGCAGACTCCCCCACTCGCAAGCAAATGAGCGATTGCTTCGCTTCTTAAAACAAAAGAAAAAAACAAACCCACGTCCAGTAGCAAACAGACCAAAGAAAGTTGCATTTTTGGGTGGGTAGGAAGGGTGTCCTTTTCCTTTGGCTGATTTAGGTCCTCGGCTTTTAGACTCCAGAAGTGGCACAAACAGGGATGGAACTCTGCTTCAGTTCAAAGGGAGGTATGATTGGCAGGCAAGGTGACACAGCCAGTTATGTGGAAGGGAGGAGGAGGAGGAGGGTGGGGAGGTCACAAGGGAGGAAAGAGCTCTGCACCTCAGCTCGGAATTCTTTTGGAA